AACAGCCAAGTACTATTCAAGGCAATGAACTGAGGTAGATAAAAAATCTAGACTTTGCCAAGTGAGGATGGGGCAAGCAAATGCAGTGACAGGCCAGGCCTGCTAAGTAATGCAGAGGCTGAAAGCTGATGGGGACCACAGCCATCCCCCTTCTGCTCATCCCCTCAGCACATGACGTCTCTCACATCTGCATCTCCGAGTAGTTCACATCCCAAGACACTCATGTGACTCAATTTGGTCCTCTGAAATGACCTCCTGCAGTGAATTCTTCTAGTCACAAGCTTTCAACAGCTTCCAGAATGTCATTCTCTTAACGCCATTGTTGTTGATTTTTTAACCTTGTTATGGCTTCCTTAGTTTTGCAAGGTAGTTGCCTCATTTCTGAAATCACTGTATTTTTCTCTCATTCCATTCAGAATGATCCCCTGCTGTCTTGCACCTTCTTGCTGCCTCTTTCCCTGTGCTCCCTTCCTCATTCCTCTTCCCTGGCTCCTTCCCCCTTTTCCCCAGTGTCATTCAGAAAGCCGCTCTTAGACTTATCAACCGTGTCCACTAACCCTAAAAGTGGTTTTCTCTAATAAACACTTTACTTACTAAATTATTTTACAGTAGTAAGTCTTCTAAAGTTAGCTCAGCATTTTTTGATCAATAAATCCCCGGTCCCGGTCAGAAAAAATCAGATCTTCTAGCAGCTGCCTTCACAATGCCACCTCCTCACTCTTTCTAAAGCCTCAACCAAGGGCAGATTATTCTGGACAAGATAGCTGACAGAAAAGCACTCCATACTTCCGATACTCCCAAATGTTTACTCAGCTCTACATGTAAATGTGTTTATTTTAACTAATAGTATAAAATAATCCTCAAACCCAACCATGCATATTTGGTTAAATACAATATTTGGAGTTCTCTTATGTACCCATGCTTTTACCTAAGCAGTGACACAGGGCATGTTGAAGCAAGTGCTTCTGGACTGATTACAGAGGCCTGGTAACTAGAGTGTTGGGACTTCTGGTTCATACGAGTCCAAGAACAGAGATTCCTACTGTTTTTCATTTGACCAAACTCCTCCCATCTCATCCAGCTTTCCTGAAGTGCTGCCCATCAGTACTGACTTCCAAAGAAGGTGCAATTCTTCAATCTGATACCTTATGACCTTCAAATCCATTCTGGACCTTAGGCCCCGGTGTGTAGATTTGCATTTTTACTCCTGTACCCAGTAAGAAATACGAGAATCAATTCTTTAAGGCAATTTTGGTATTTCCAGTACATACATCACTTTCTGTAAGATGCTACAAAATAAATTAGGCACAAATCATCAACATTGTTTTTAGTGATAGAGCAGCTAACCCCTTTGATTCATAACTCTTTTTCTCTCATTCAGTTTTCTTCTCTCCTGCTATTGTCTAGCATAGTATCTCTGAAAATGCCTATGGTCAGCCTTCAACTTATTGGAGAAATAAGCCTACCAAAACCCTCATGTTTTAAGAAAGTATTTTCCTTCATGTTGCTTTCTAGTAATAATAATAAAATCCACTTATTTAGGGCTAATGTGTGTTAGATAGTGTGCAAGCACTTTACATGCATGATCTAATCTATAGCTTGAAAGTGAACCTCAGGAGAGTGTTTCTTTTATGTTACAGGTGAAGAAAACATGTCCAAGTGTTCCACACTGGGCGCCAGAGCAGGATTCTGCCTGGTGTCTCTGCTCTGTAATCTGTAGCCTTCACCACTGTGCTAATGCCATCTCTGGACTGGATAATCTATTTCCCCATGTCCAGCCTGAGCGACCCTGAAGATGGAGAAAAGGCAGACAACTCCCCCTCCTGTCTTAGTTCCTCACACTCCTGGCCTGCTCCAGTGGTGCTTCCTATAGCATATTGATGATCCTGGTTTGTGTGTACAATTCTCCTGCTTCATATTTTTATTTCTCTCCAACATCAGAAAGACTGCTGGGAATAATCTGATGCACATGAAGAGAAAATGAGGAGTTACTAATAAGATTAAATTAAACTTGAGCACATTTCTCCCAGCACTGTTTATGATGAGCAGACATGAGCCATGACCTCGTGTAATTTAAAATCGGGTGTGAGAGGGAATGAAAAATAAAACTATATGTAAGTTCATGGTGAATATAGCAAGTTCCATATGAAAAGAAGAAATGAAGCACATATAGCTGAAAAGCAGGAGCACTCCCATTTCCCTGAGGAAGCAGGAATGCGACTGTGTAGTATAGGGAAATGGATACAGAGAGTAGAGGGCCCCAAGCTTCACTCTAGGCTGTCACTGACGCTCATAAGGCTTTAGTATTCCTGTCCCACACAGACTACATAATTTATAGGGCCCAGTTCAAAATGAAAATTTAGGGCCCCTTATTCAAAAGTGATGAATTCTAAGAATGGGAGAACAGAGTATTAAACCAAGTATGGGACTCTTTTCAACATAGAGAAGGCCTTGCCTCACACAGTTTACTTCGGCTTCTGTTTCCACAGGGGTTGCCTTTGGGAAGCAGGGAAGCAGTTCTCTCTCTCACCACCATACCCCCAGCAACTAGCACCATGCCTGGTTCCCAGATGAATCAGCAAATGACTGGAGATATGAATGAATCGGTACAACTACGGTTGATGATTTTTTGGGTTGCTTCTGGCATTAAAATGTCATTAGACCATGATATTTGAGGTGGACCTCAAAGGATAGTAGAATTTTTCTTTCTATTTTTCTCTTCCTTTCTGTCCTTCCCATATTTTTTCATTTCTCTCGCAAACTGTCGTAGTCATGTTACGCTTTACAGTGAGAACTGCGACAAGGTCACAGACTAGAATCAGCAGAGGCATGACTTAGAGACTTTGTCTTCACTTAGGGTTCCTTGAGATAATTTCCCACTTACAGAGATGGCTTTAACTACAGATCATATCTCCCTGAATAGAGTCTGCTTTTTCATTTTAAAATTATTTTGTTTTATTTTTTATTGAACAATTTGATAGATGTTTGAGAAGGAAGAAACTCAGAAAAATAAAGATGAACAAAAATAATTGCTTGTAATTCCATAAGAAAAATTATAATGGGATTATATAAAAACAGTTTTCAACCTACTTTTCCATTCAACAATATATTATAGGCATCTTCGTTTGTCAGTAAATGTCAATAGCCAGGCAGGGTGGTGCATGCCAGCAACTTAGAACCTAGGAAGGGAAGATCACTTGAGCCCAGCGAGGCCAGCCGAGGCAACAAAGCAAGACCCTGTCTCAAAAACAAAAAGTGTCAAATATAACTCATTTTTTATGACTATATGATATTCTATACTGTTATTTTAACTAATTCATTCAAATCAAACATTTGGATTATTATTATTATTTTTACTATTCTAAATTGCATTGGCTTGAATTTGCTGCTTAAGCAACTGATTTAGTTTCTCAGTGTGTTGGGTTCCATCGCTGTGGATAACTGCACACTAATGATAGTCCTAGTGGCCTAGGGTTGTGGTGTGATGTGAGTTAACGTATGTAAGGCTCTTAGCACACGTACAGCACAGTTCATAGCAGACTAGACATGTGCAATGAATATTTGCCATTTATTATTTTACAGCCCAGAAAGAGTTGTTTTGCCCAGATCGTGTTGCGATTAATATTAGAGCCCGAGAATTATTCTTTGCAAAGCAGTGGAATGAGGCATAGACTAGAGGCTTCCTAGGCTTGGTAGTGGCTTCTTGTCTCTTGGGTTGTACAGTACGCGCCCAGGAAGGTAGGAGTCTTCTGCTTTTTTTTTTTTTTTTTAACACAGCAAAGCGGGTGTTCCTTGACGGATGGGTTTCCCATGAGCCAGGGCAGTCACCAGCGCCTGTCCTTAACCCACCAAGGCCTGCCCTTACCCCACCACACACTGTCTGTTAACTGGAAACGTGGTCTGGCTGAAGATTCCTGCCAAGTGCAGCTGAAGAGACTTAGTTATGCTTAGATTGAGGGTGACTGTCGCACCTTGAGGGATGTCCTAGGGATCTGCGTTGCTGGGCGTGGAGGAAGCAAGTTCCAGATTAGCCACTCGCTGACTCTGTGACCTAGGGCAGGTGGCGACCTCTGTTTCCTTTTCTGTAATTGTGGTGGGAACTGGAGAAGGCCCTGAGTAGTGAGCACAGCGATTACCTCAGAGCAGAATCTAACGCAGGGCCCTTCTCTCCACTTGCACATTACCCTATTTTATTCTATTCACTCTACTCTTCACGCTGCAGACGACCTTTTTTGTGCCTTCCCCCTCACTAAAATGGAAGCTTCTTAATGGGAGGGGCCTGGAAAACAACCCCAGGGCAGATGTTTGCTGCGCTCTGAGTGTGTAAGAGTAGCTGGACTCTGAGTCTGAGTTTGTAGTCTGGTTACCTTGCTTGCTGTGCGAAGTCAGGCAAGCCACTGAAACATATTTCAGTTTTTCCACTTGAAAAACAGGGATTGTAATAGTGCCTTTCTTATAAGGCTATGAAGATCAAACGTGAAAGTATCTAGGAAGCTCTAAGCACCCTGCCTGGTACAGCGTGCAATAACGATAGCAGCAAACACGTACTTAGCACGACAGCGAAGCACTAATCTCTACACTTTACTAATGTTAACTTCATTAATCTTCACTACATCCTCCAAAATCGGTACTATTGTACCATCTTGTAGATGGGCAAACTGGGGCACAGAGATGAAGCTATTTCAAGACACGTAGTCAAGACACGTCAAGACACGTAGTCGTTACTTCATGCCTGGGGTTCTTTCCAAGCGTCCCACGGGACGACCCCTACGAAAGACCTGAACAGGAGACTGGCCCGCGCAGCCGGCGTTGGAAGGAAAGGTTACTCGGAACGAGCGAGCGCGCGCGTTATCAGGGGAGGTCCTCGGGCCCGCGCCTGGCTGCCAAGGTAGCGGGCGGGGCGGCGGGCGCTTCCCCGCCTCCTATTGGCGCACACGCTCCTTCCTGTCACTGCCGGTCCCGCCCCGCCCCCTGGGCGCTGCCAGAGTGGACGGTTCCAGAGGTATGCTAATGAGGGGCCCGGCGCCGCAGCCCATTGGCCAGCCGCGGAGTGTCGGTGAAGTCAGCGCCGAGTCTCAGAAAAACAGAGCGGGGCCGACTGCAGCGTGTAGTGCTAGTGGGGCAGGACGCGCGCAGCAAGCCGCCGGGCGACCCGCAAGGTAAGCCCGCCCGCGCCGCCCTCCC